CACATAAGACATTATACTCTATGCACTTAATGGATTACCACCACAATATCAAGCATTCAAAACGTCTATCAGAACTAAGCTTCAACCAATTAGTCTTGAAGACTTATACTCTCTACTGTTCAGTGAGGAAATCAATATTCAATCAGAATCATCTAATCATCAGCAAGCAATAGATCCCAACATGGCTTTATACTCCTATTGCGGTCGTGGCCGATAAGGAAGAGGACGATCTGCCAATTTCAACAACAGATCTCCATCACTTCCCTTATTCACCTGTCAGATATGCAATAAGAAAGGTCATTCCGCAACAAGCTATTGGCATCGTTCCAACACGAATTACATTCCTGTAGCACCTTCAACTCAACAAAAAGCCATGGTTGCTACATCTGACCCTATCAACCCGGATTGGTATTTGGATTCGGGAGCCTCCTCATCTCATCTTACAAATCACATCAACAACCTCACCAATCCAAAACCATGTCATGATAGTGATAACATAACTATTGGTGATGAAAGCACTATTCAGATAGCTCATACAGGTGATGGTATTCTTTCGACACTGTCTCGTATGCTTCTTTTAGCTCCACTTCTACACATTCCCCACTTATCTCATAATCTTTTGTCCATTTACAATCCTAAACCAAGGATAATAACATTATCGCTTGTTTTGATGCCTCTGGTTTCACTTTTAGGGATTCTTTGACCAATCAAGTGCTTCTCTAGGGTCCCTGCTATAACGGGCTCTATCCGATTCCTTCACACAACAAACAATCTGCACTATCAGCTACCAACGGCTTCAACTCTCTTTAGCACAATAGACAGGGACATCCCCACCACCAGACACTCCTTCAAATCTCCAATAGAAACAATCATCTAAACTTTCATGCTATTTCATTTTTTTTTGTGCACCTTATAAGGTCTCAAAAGGCCACAAATTAAAGTTCTATAAATCTCTCTCTCGTTCATCTATATCTATAGAACTTATTCACTTGGATGTATATGGGGTCCTTCCCCTATTAGCTCTCATCAATGCTATAGATATTATGTCACATTCATTGATGATTTTTCATGATTCTCTATGCGATATATGAGGTTTATTCAATATTCATTACATTCAAAACGATGATTGAAAAATATTTATCTTACTCTACTAAAAGATTCAAATCTGATGGTGGGACTGAAATATCTCAATCAAAACATGTAATCTTACTTCCAACAACATGACATTATTCATCAAATATCATGTCCATATACTCCAAAATAGAATGGATTAGTCGAGAGAAATCACAAACATCTCACTGGAATAATGATGACACTTGTCCATATGGCAGCCTTTCCATACATCTATTTTCTAGATGATGTTATTGTTGCATCATATCTAATCAAGTAATTACCTTCCAAAACCATGAAATATTAATCCCCTCTACAAAGTCTCTATAATCAGCAACCTAAATGCTCTCTTATGCGCACATTTGGTTGTCGATGTTTTCCTTGGATCCCGTCCTCTCGTTGACACAAGCTTGAACCAAAATGATCACTCTGTATTTTTCTAGGCTACTCACCCTCTTACAAAGGATACAAGTGCCTAGACACTACCACCATCCAAATTATCATTCCCCGCCATGTTGTCTTTGATGAAGATAAATTTCCTTTTCAAACTATCTTTGTAAGTAACATTTCATCATCCACACCTCACAACAATCCATTCTTACTTACTCCCATTCCTACGCCCTCTCCTCCATCGTTCCTATCTCATCCAACACTAGCTGTTTCCACTAATCCTACTCCACACCTGTAGCTACAATCCTCTGCTACCACACCTAACTGCAGCATCACACCCATATCCATAAAACAATCAAATTCTCCCTCACCTATATCTCAACCTCAACCACCAGGTTATACTGCCTCCACTCATCCCATGGTAACAAGAGTTAAGAAAGGCTCTCTAAAACTAAAAATAATCTTCAATCTCCTCCACCAGCATTCCACCAATGACAACCAATCTATATATAGTAGATCCAACCACCTACTCAGAAGCTTCCAAATCTCCCCATTATAGACAAGCCATGGCCATTGAATATCTTGCTCTGCAACAATAGGGTACCTGGACTCTAGTTCCACCACCCACAAACTCACCATTCTCAGTTGCAAATGGACATATCATACTAAAGTTCACTTAATGGCTCGATTGCTTGATACAAGTCATGTCTAGTAGCTCAAGGCAATCAACATGAATATAGTCTCAATTATCTGAAGACCTTCAGTCCAGTCGCAAACTTTTACACCATCCAAGCTCTTCTAACAATTGCCTTGAATAAACAATGGCAGGTTCATCAATTTGACGTTATGAATTCTTCCCTCCATGGTGATCTCATTGATACTATATACATGACACAACCCCGAGGATTTGAAGATTCTTTGCATCTAAATCACGTATGCCTGTTGCGAAAAGCTATCTATGTTCATATACATGCTCCTAGGTAGTGGTTCAAAATATTTTCCGAAGCTCTGAACCAGCTGGGGTTTCTTTCAAGTAGGGCAGATCCATATCTGCTCATTCTAACCAATGCAACTAAAATTTATCTACTCATATACATAGATGATTTTCTTCTAACAGGTACTGATCCTAGCCTACTTTCGCACATTATCTCATAACTTAACAATCAATTCGCCATGAAGCATCTAGGTACAGTGAATACCTTCCTTGGTATCTCTATTGAACATCATTCCACTACATACTTCCTCTCTTAGACGCAATATGCAAACTCCATACTAGCTGATGCAAGCATGTTGCTTTGCAAATACTTGCAAATGTGATTATGTCCATAACTAATATAAAATGAACACAAATATTTAACTTACCTTATTAAAAGCACCACACGATGCAACCTTTGCTGAACGTACCTCCTCCATATGCACTGAAGGTAGGGGTGTCAATTTTGGGTCACGGGTCGGGTTCGGATCGAACCCAAAATTGACCCGACACTATTCAGGTCTTGAACCTTTTTTTTTGCAAACGGATCAATTTTTCTGACCCGAACCCATCCCATTTCGGGTTCGACGACTCGAATGACCTAGTGCCAAAAAGAAAAAAAAACTGCTAGTTTTCAGGTCCAAAACGTGTCAATATCTATTTTTGGGTAAAAAAATAGGTCAATCAAGGGTTGTCGGGTCAAAATGGGTTTTCGGGTTAAAATGATTCAAATTCGGGTCAAAGGGTCAACCCGAACCCTACCCAATTTTTGAAACGGGTCAAATTGTTGAACCTGAACCCAACCCATTTCGAGTTCAGGTTGACCCAAACCCGAAATTTTTGGGTCGGGTTCAAGTTAGGTTTTCGGGTTGTGTCAAATATTGACACCCCTAACTGAAGGAATCCCAACTCTTCATCCATAACAACTTGCAATGATCCTATGTGTATAGGTGCAAAGTCATGTGCACACTTCAATATATAATACTCCCTATACACCTAATAGCACATATACATAAATAGAAAATGTATCATCTTCTACCTCTATTGTTGTATATGTAATAACAAGCTTAAGATATATCTTAGCTCTATATAAGGTATTACTCTGTCTCAGTTTCTTCACTTATGATAAAATTTTAATTCTACCATATTATTTAATAAAATAATTTTTCTTATCATTATTAGGGAAACATAGATTACCACTACCAAATTTTGATCTATCAGAACCCATTTAGTGTATTTTAGATTAACTATTGTGCTTCCATCAGATGATTGATTTAGGCTAGGTGGGATTGCTGAATGGGAATCAATAAAATTCTCAAATCCATTTGCATGCAATAGTTTTAGAACCTGCAATCTCCACATTTTATAGTTGTCATTAGACGAATGAATTGGTATTATGTTTTTTATGTTTGAGATGACGAATTTTAGTGATGTAGGAATGGTACAACTATCTGCATTGGGTGGATTCGTCGGGTCAACTATTTGGGAAGATGAAGTCTGTGCCATTTTGACTAGTGCAAGCATTTTATTCATGCTCTCATACCATGAAGAAACGAAGAAAGAGTAATACCTTTTATAGGGCTAATATATGTCTGAAGCTCGTTATTACAGAGACAACATTAGAGGTAGAAGATGATATATATATATATATATATATATATATATCTATTAGGTGTACATGGAGTATTATGTAGTGAAGTGTGCTCTTGACTTTACACCTGCACGCATAAGATCACTGCAAGTTGTTATGGATGAAGAGTCTGGATTCCTTTAGTGTACATGGAGGAGGTACGTTCGTCAGAGGTTGCATTTTACGGTGCTTTTAATAAGGTAAATTAAATATATGTGCTCATTTTATATTAGTCATGGACATAATCACATTTGCTCCCAACCTCAATTTTTCTCTTAAGAAGATGCAAATTTTATAAGCTCTTCTCACTAAAAAAATAACCCACTTAGCCCCTTAATGCTTATTAAATCAATCAATTAATTAAAATAAAAGCTCATGAACTTCATGTTTTTTTTCTATTTTTAATTAAAATCCACAGAGGAGCCTATATCATATGACTCATATGAGTATGTCATATAAGTTCTTGACCTTTTCTATTTTTATCTTGTTAGTTGTTTGCATTTATATATAAAAATACTAATTTTATCTATTTTATTCATTTAATTATTACTAATATTTTTTATATAATTTATTTATTTAAAATTTTGCTAATCACCTGATAGTGTTGTACCTTTAATAATATTTTTTTTTCTTTTGTACATAATGCATGTAAAATGTGCATACTACCTAAATTGCTAGGATATTACCTAAAATTTCCAGGCCGTTGTGCACATAATATTTGAAACAGAGGAAAATACGCTGTTTTCATGAAGGCGAAGTTTGCGTGCGCTCCGATGCTCTTTTCTGTCCCGCGTCTTCTGCCAACGCGATCGAATTCACCACCACCATATAACACACCTAACTCCTACCTTATTTATTTCTCTCCTCCTCTTCCCCACAACACCTGCCAACCCCTTACAAGCCATTACTCCCCTTCTTCCTCTCTCTTTCATCAGCCCCTCTGTTTATATCTCTCTCCCACATTTCACCTTTCAAAATCTACTCTTTACCAAACTCCAACATATTGTATTTCCCATTCAACGTTCTTTTATCCATATGACCTGCATCCGCTCTGCTGCGATTTAATTATTTCCCCTTGTCCATTAGCTTCCACGTTATTATATCCTTGTACTGAAGCCAACCGCCATCATTTCTACCTCGATTTAAGTCTGTTGTCGCCCTGCCTTCCTTGTTTCATTGAAGGAATCAGTGCTTAAGAGTCTCCGAAGGTATTGCTTTCAATCATCTGGCTAGTAGAGAGGCTCAGAACGACGTATTCGCAGTCAATACTTACCATGATTTCCGTTGCCTCACCCGATGTCCATCCTCATGAGGCCTCCCCGCCTGCGGCGGTGCCGCCGCGGCCGTCGCAAGCAGAAAATATTATCTTTCGGTCAAGGCTCCCCGACATTCCCATCCACAACAACCAGCCCCTCCACACCTACTGCTTCGAGAAGCTTGTAGAGTTCGCCGACAATCCTTGCCTCATTGCCGGGCCAACCGGCCAAACTTACAGCTTTGCCGAGACCCACCTCCTATGCCGCCGCGTAGCTGCAGGCCTCGCCGACATCGGCATCAAGCAAGGCGACGTGATCTTCCTTCTCCTCCAAAACTGCCCACAGTTCGTCTTCACCTTCATCGCCGCCTCTTTCCTCGGCGCGGCCGCGACCGCTGCTAATCCTTTCTGTACTTCGGCGGAAATCCATAAACAATTCACTTCCTCCGGAGCGAAGGCCGTCATCACGCAGTCCATGTACGTGGACAAACTCCGTAGCTGGGAGGAATTCCAAGCCGGACTCGTCGTTATCACCGTCGACGATCCCGCGGCAGGCTGTTTACCCTTCTCCGTTCTCTCCTCCGGGGACGAGGCAGCGGTTCCGGAAATATCGATCGACGCCGAAGACACGGTTGCCCTGCCGTTCTCTTCGGGCACGACGGGGTTTCCAAAAGGTGTAGAACTGACGCATCGGAGCTTGATATCAAGTATCGCGCAGCAGGTCGACGGAGAAAACCCGAACCTTTATCTGAAAACCAGCGACGTGGTGCTCTGCGTGCTTCCCCTGTTTCACATATTTTCACTCAACTCTGTTTTGCTCTGCTCGCTGAGGGCTGGAGCGGCCGTGCTGATAATGCCGAAGTTTGAGATTGGGACGATGCTGGGATATATTGAGAGGTATAAGGTGACGATGGCGGCTGTGGTGCCACCATTAGTGCTGGCTCTGGCGAAGAACCCGGTGGTGGAGAACTACAATTTGAGCTCGATAAGGATCGTTATCTCCGGCGCGGCGCCACTCGGCAAGGAGCTTGAGGCCGCCCTTAGTTGCCGGCTGCCGCATGCGATCCTCGGACAGGTGATTGATTATTTTTTGATTCGATATAATTTAAAAAATGCACCCATAGTTTGCAAGTTATTTAGCCCACACAGCGAAAATCCTTCTCAATTTAGAAGCTATGTCGAGAATAAAGGGGAAGATAAGACCGAGACCAGCCAAGCCTTTTGATTTGGTGTGACTAATTTAGGGAAGGATATGGTGTTTGTTGATGGATCCATTATCAAAATAAAAATGAGAAATGAGATTTATTCAGTGCTAGAATATTTGTGACACTAAAAATAATAAGTTAACATTTTAGTTTTATAAGAAGATTTAGTGACACAAATTTAAAATTTTATATTCATTTCTTAAAATTAATGCATAATAATCAGAAGTTCAATCAATATATCAGTCTATCTTTCAATACTCATGACTACAAAAAAATAAATAAAAATATACACAAAATATAAACACGAAATTCTAAAATCAAATCAACCTTCATTGGATCATGACCCTTTTTTGAAAAATATATAGAGTTAGCTTAAAAGCTTAATAGGTTATCAAAAGTTATAATTATAATCAATACAAAAAAATAGAAATAACATTTATGTAATCATTTAATTTAGATTAGTATTAGCATGTAATAGTAAGAATATGTGACAGTCAATATGAACAGTATCAATTCATATTAGCATTGAGAATAAACACAAGCAATGTATCTTAGAAATCAGTAGTTAATAATCATATAAGGGATCTTTATGTTATGTCATTCATATACTCATATTAAATACAATGTAGCAGGTAAACTCATGAATCTATGTATGTTTATAATTTATATCTTACTTTTATCTAAATGACATTTCTTGTATATTAGTATACTTATCATATCAAGCAAGTGTTCTACAATTGTTCTATGCATGACATACAATATTAATACATATATATTATATTCTACATCAAGTACAATGTATAATGTATAGCTTGTCCTATATCATATTCATATCATGTCATGTCATTTATGCAACTAGCATATCATATCATATTATATAGAAATGCAATATTAACATGTATGCAAAATATGTTATATGGAAGGCATAATACCGCCTCTATGACGTTTTTTCCTATATCAAGACATGTATACCCTTCAGATCAAACAAAGATTAGTCTCAATCATACCAGCCCTTATAAATAAATAGAATTCAGTCTCATATTCCATGTCACAAGTCAGATGGCTTCTTTCATATAAGAAGTCATCACTTGTTTGTTGGCGTATCATATCATATCAGTTAATTTTCTTACCTCTCTTATCAAATCATTTGGGATTATACACACTTTATTTCAAAAAAAGTTCATCAGCCCACCTTCCTGTATAAGATAGCATGTCTCCAATCAATCTTAATTAGTCAATATTTTCAACTAGTTTGTCTTGCCATCATATATATTTCATATCATATATGTAAAACCAATCAATTAAATTTTAATATGAGCCTGTCAAAATGTTCAAGATGATAATACCTACATCAATGAATATAATGTTTTCTTTTTTTCTTTTTGATAGCAAACGAGTAGATAGATCATCATGAAAATGATTAGTACGCTGATCTAATATTCAACAGTATGCGTAAATTGCCCTCTAACCAAAAAGTAAAGGCCTGCATCAGCAAAATATTTGCAAGCCAAAAATTTCCTTCAAGAGTGTGGCTGCAGAGTATGTTGAGAATATTTGATGCGTCCATTGAAAATAGCAATAAGCAAAAAAAAAAAAAAAAAAAAAAAAAAAAAAATCAATTTAGACATTCAATGAATATAATATTAATCATATTATGGGGGCATGATTAGGTTTCCATTTAAAAATACTTGAACTTGTTGTGCGATAGAAAAGTCCCCCTCAAGCTAAAGAGAAAATTCTAAAAGATGGTGGTAAGACTTGCAATGCTTTATGGTGCCGAATTTTGGCCATTTAAGTTAAGTTTTGCAGTGATGAGGATGCTTAGGTGGATGAGTGACTTTACTCTTAGAGATAAGATATGAAATGAGCATATACGTGAAAAGGTTGGAGTAGCTTCAATGGAAGTAAGATTAGAGAGAGTCATCTTAGATGATTTGGTCACATTAAACGGAGGTCTTTTGATGACACGGTTAGGAAAGTTAAAGTATTAGATTTGACTTATGTTAAGAAAGGTATAGATAGACCTAAAAAGACTTGGCTAGAAAATATTAGAAATGATCTTTCTTTATTAGATTTAAATGAAAATTTGACTTTTAACATGACACAATGACGAAAAAGGATTCATGTAGCCGACCCAACCTAATGGGACAAAGGCTTTATTGTTGTTGGTAATATATAGAGAATCAACTGCATTGCTTGCTACTAAATTGTTTTACAATCCAGTTCAAATTTGATTTTATAAATGACAAACTTGATTTGGAAGATTTAAATTGAGCTCAAATTAAATCCAAATTTCAACACAAAACTGCAATTTTATTGACTATTTCTGAACAGATTGTTTTCCTTTCAAGCATTTAAATCTTTGCTCATCAACCCGTGACGTTAGGGTTTTTCTAAACGCATTATAATTATGCTATTGGACCAAAATTAATTGTACTCTCATAGAATGATGGCTAAAGTTCAATTACTTTCTTAATTATTTGTGCTGTTCATCACTATCTTCTTGTTGCCATTAGTTATTAGTTATTACTCTGAAACAAAAAGAGCTCTGTTCCTATGTTCATCACTCTCTTTTTCCTGGAGTTTTTATTTTTTATCATTTTCCAAAATAAATTAAGATAAAGTTATATAGAAAATTTAAGGGTTTATTTGATTCTTTATTAATTGATAATTATGATATCATTGATGATGACATAGTTATCTATAAAATATATAGCAATATAAGCGAATTCTTATAAATTGCTAATGTTGCAGGGCTATGGCATGACTGAGGCTGGGCCAGTGCTATCCATGTGCCCGGCATTCGCCAAGCAACCGACCGTGGCCAAATCCGGAAGCTGCGGCACGGTTGTCCGCAATGCCGAGCTGAAGGTTATCGATCTAGAGACCGGCTTCTCGCTCAACCGTAACAAGGCTGGCGAGATATGCATCCGTGGGGATCAGATCATGAAAGGTAAGTGATCATATGACCAGCCAAATCTCATTGGCATCCAAATGGTTCATCTAACTCTCAAGCAGATTCAATTATGGATTAATTAGTCAAAATTACTTAGTTGTTTGGTGGCACGCATGTCCTACAGGTTATCTTAATGATCCTGAAGCTACATTGGCGACTATTGATGTGGAGGGGTGGCTTCACACGGGGGATGTTGGCTATGTAGATGATGATGATGAAGTGTACATTGTCGATAGAGTGAAAGAGCTCATCAAGTTTAAAGGCTTTCAGGTTATGACCAAACCCCTAAACTTCAATATATTTCAAAATCCAAGATGATTACAAGTTCTGTACTGTGGCTGCAGGTTCCTCCGGCTGAGCTCGAAGCACTTCTAGTAAGCCATCCTTGTATTGCTGACGCTGCTGTTGTCCCGTAATCACTTTTAACAGACAAATATTTTCTTGAATTCAATTCATGAAAGAACTTTCATGTTTTCTCAGACTTAAGAACCTCATTAATGTGGTTTGCCAGACAAAAGGATGAAGCTGCTGGCGAGGTTCCAGTTGCCTTCATTGCTCGATCTACTGACAATATTGAACTCACTGAGGATGAAGTAAAAGAGTTCATAGCAAAGCAGGTGACTTAAATTATTTGAGAGAAATGAGAGATCAGACTTCTAAGAAATTGCAAGGTTAACTCTTCAGAATGTTTATGTTTCAGGTGGTGTTCTACAAGAGATTGCACAAGGTGTATTTTGTCCATGCAATACCAAAATCTCCTGCAGGGAAGATTATGAGGAAGGAACTGAGAGCCAAATTGGCTAATGCTGGAGCTTAGTAGGGATCTCCTCAATAAGAGAGTCCAAAAGCTCAGAGAGTGGTTACCACTGACTGTTGAGTCCATGCATTGATTAAGAAGTTAATTTAAATAAAAATAATTAGGCAATAAAGTCAAGAAATTCCATTGAAAGTGGTATGAAGCTATTTGGTGATGTTATAGTGTTTCTTTATCATGAAACTTAATGATATAATGTGGTGCTATGAAATTTATAAATGTTGATGCTCTTGCTGTTAATCTGAGTGGTAATACAAGATAAATTAGCTTTTGAGCGGTCATCTACTCACTACTCTCCCTTCCAATCACATTTATCTTGGGGAGTTTTTTCTTTTTTATTTATTTTTTAATTTCTATGATGATAATTAGATACTAAGAAATTGGGAAAAAAAACTGTTTGAATGTAACCATTAATTGTTCATGATCAAGTAGCATATTGCCTCAAGTGCATTTTATTTCTTTCACTTGCAATATTTCCAAAGACAATCAGAGATCTTGGTGAATAGTTCTTTGATGTTTAATTTTGAAAAATCGAGACTAAGCCTTTGTTTGGGATGGCTTTCTTACTGATTCTTAGCAATTTTTTAGTACAAAATTTTTAATTTGTATACTAGAAAATTGCTTTAAGAAGCAATAAAAAAGTCGTCCCAAACGAAGTCTTAATTCTTCCAAAAAAAACCTTTTAGCCAAACCACTATCTACTAACTACATACTCTACTTTTATGATTGATAGTGCATCTATCTTATGAAATTGTGACACCCAACTGATGGCTGTAACACCAAAGATGTAATTGTCCATGACGATACTTCTTATATCTAATCTCCTTGTAGGTCTAAATCAATGTAGCTCTGCAGTTTTAAGTCAATTTTTTTTAAACTTAAAAGAATGATTAATCAAATAATTTCAGTATCATAATATCCATTCCATACCTTACCTATGCTTTCCTCCTATTGATTTCTTCCATTTCTTATGCAATATATGATTTTTACAGGCCATTGCAAACATAAGAAATCCAACAGCTATTGCATAGAGAGATTTAGCTATGTGCTCTTTTACTATTCAGTTTTTTTGGCATTTGTTCCTTAGATGATCTAAAAATACTAGTGTGTGGCATACTAAATGATCAAAATGCCCTTACAAAATCTATCATTATACCTTTGGACATTTCCAACGAAAAAATTCAATTTTCACTCCAAAATACAGTAATGCACTAAAATACAGTAACTTGTCTCCAATCGAACTCCATTTTCTAACACAAAAAAAAAAAATTCATAGTATATTCTTTCACATGCTTTATTTTTGAATTAAAAAAAAAACAAATAGAGGGTGAACAGTGCGACGCCGATCAAGTAGCGTCGCAGTGTTCACCCGCAATTAAATAGCGGCATTTTTGCCGATCGGATAAAATGACATAAGAACAGACGTTCGGGTGAAGATGCTCTTAGTTCTATACAATCAATAGCCTTGAAAGAATGCAAAAGGTTGACTTGCTAGATTTTATCCCCGAGAGGAGGTTACTGTTATTCCAGAGAATGTCAAATTGAATTTTGAGTTGATTATTTTTTAGGAATTTGTTCATTTGGAACCTGAGAGCAGTAACCTTGATCGCTGGAATCTCATGGACCTCTTATCATCAGTCACAGTTCCAACCATCACAGCAATATTATTCTCTTTTTCCTTCATGAAGTGGATAAGCTTCCTGAGAGAGATGGGGGGCTTATTAATCTTGCTAATAAAAAGCCGCTTCAGAATCACACCATTAAACTTGCTCTCAGTCCTCCTCACCAGAAACCTTGACTAGAAGCTTCAGGTAAACATCATCGCTCCTGGGCGCGGTGCGCTTCGTCTTCTTGCTCCTGCCACCGGCAATGAGATCAATCCCCATGGCTTCCAAGCTCGCGGCTGCTCGGAGAAACTGCGGATTCTTGCCTGATTTTTTCCCCCGCACTATCTTCCTTGTTAACCTTGTTGATGGCTTGCCAGATTTATAAAGAATTTTTTAAAAAAAGGGCTTCTAATGTATTTCTAATCTACTGGAATTCATAACAGTAAGTTCTGTAGGCGTCAAAATCAATTGAAATGCATACATGCATAAAGTTCGATGGCCATGAAATCATTCAAATGCTTTGTTTTGCACTCCATTTCATAAGGAGAACAAACGGAACTCAAAATGAAATCATAATAAAAAGAATGAAGAATTAAAATATAAAAAACTATTATCAACAAATCTTACATAAAACCAAAACTATTAAAATGAAGATTTGTTCCATCTACAAAATAATCAACATAAATTCAAGTATTTAGAACATTTAAACCTCTAACAAAAAAAAATCAAAATGGTTGAAAGCTTTGCAGAATGGAAGGAATAAAATCAGGGGAAAGAGAAGGAACCGCCAATCTGAGAATTTGCTGAAGGGGGATTGATGGCGACCCAGAGCAGAGAGATGGTGATGGCAATGAGGCCTGACCAAACGAAGACGATGGTGGGCGTCCTTCCCCTCCTGCCCATCAACCCTTTGGCAAACGGGTAGAGATGAGCAAGCACCCAAATGCTGAAGAACACTCCACCGAGTAGCCGGCTCCACTGCGGGATCACGGAGTAGATTGTCCTGCTCACCCCCACCGCTATGGCAATCATGTTCACCATCATGATAGTGAGCGGAGGGATCATGAGTGACGTCCATTTAACCACGTAGAGGTCGGCGAACTCATCATCGTTGTCATCGCCGGCAGATTTGGACGTGAGCGTGAAGGATATCTCAATCCCAGCCACAACCTTGAGAAGACCCTGTAGCACCGCAGCAAGGTGGGCGCTTGTACCGCCTATGAGCCAGAACTGCTCGTTTCGCCACCACTCCTCAAGCTCAATCCCAGACCACCGGATTTCTAGAATGGCTAACAGGCATAGGCAGACCGTGATAACGAGGAGATAAGCAAGGAATGTGACATTGAGTGTCTGCACAATGAACTGGCCCGAGAAGAGCGAGAGGGCGGGGAGGAAACAGTAGACGATGAGGAAGAAAGAGGTGAAGGGATAGATACCAACGTTAAGGTACGCGATGCGCTGTAAAAACTTCATTTTTGGGCTTGCGAGCAGGGCGTTGTTGCGGGAGAAGAAGATTTCCACCGAGCCGGTGGCCCAACGGAGGACTTGGTGCAACCGATCAGTAAGGTTGATGGGCGCGGTGCCGCGGAAGGCGTCGCGCTTGGTGACGCAGTAGATTGATCGCCAACCGCGGTTGTGCATCCGGTAGCCAGTCACAACGTCCTCCGTGACCGAACCGTAGATCCACCCTACTCTGTTTCCCCACTCCGTCTTGTCCTCGTACCAACACGACACCACGCTGATGGCCTCCGCCACAGTAGATGCATCGAGTGGGTCGCGCGGGATGGTCAAAGCACCAGGCGGGCGGCCATTTTTCACAGACGGGTGGTCGGCGAGCGGTCGTCCCTGGAACTCGGCCACTGGAATAGAATCCACAAGGAAGCTCGAGTTGCCAAATTTGTTGGGGAAGGAGGAAAGGGCCATTGATTCCTCATCGTCGTCCTCGGGCATGCGTAGGGCGCGGGAGGCTGAGGAGTCTTCGTTGGCGACACGGCGGGGGCGGGGAAAGCAGCAACTGCAACAGCCGGGGGCTGAGTGATCCTTGGCGCGTGGGGGATCAAAACCGTAGAGAGCAATGCGACGAAAGAGGCACCCAGTGCCAACATAGACGGGACCCTGCAGGCCGTCCAGTGCGCGCATGTTGACGTCGAAGAACACGGTGTTGTGGTTAGCGTACCGGTCGGAGGGATCAATCCCCTCAAATCGCTGCGGGAACTGTACATAGCAAATGCGGTCACCACCGCGGTCCATCATAAAGCACATCCCTTCGCGCAAAGCTTGCGAGTTATATATGTAGTGGTCGCAGTCCAGGTTGAGTATGAAGGGTCCGTTCGACATGATCGCCGAGGCGCGAACGAGAGCATTCATGGCGCCGGCCTTCTTGTTGTGGTCATATCCTGGCCTCTTCTCACGGGAGACGTAGACCAGCATGGGCAACCGCACATCGACCTCTGTCAGGTCGAGAATGCCGTCGCCATCGCCGCCGATGGATTCATCCATAGGAGTACCGAACACAGCGTCCTCAGCTGGGGGCCTGAGCATGACTTGGATGATGCCGGCGTGGTCGCCACGGGAGTGGTCTATGTTGGGTTGAGTCCAGGTGCCTGGCCAGTGGGTACCATCGGCCATCCAAGTAGCCTTGGGAATCTTGACTATTGGCTCGTCCATGTTCTCACGGTGGAGGCGGGCAGCGTTCAGCTCCTCGCGAGCGTGGAAAGCATCAGAGCGGCGGCGGATGGAGTCGGGAAGGCCATTAATGCGAACCTTGAACTCGTCATACTCTCGTTTGACGCGACGGCGGTCGCGAACAAAGTCTTGGCGGACTTTGTTCTTATAAGGGTCGCGCTTAAGAGCGAAGTAACTCTCGGGGTTGCGAGGCTCAATGCGGTGCTTGCGACAGAAGGGAACCCAAACAGAGGCAAAAGATGCGGCCTCCGCCATGGCTTCGAATGTGAGGAGAGCACCGCCATCATCAGAGACGTAGCAAGCGAGCTTCTCCACTGGGTATTCTGCGGCGAGGATGGAAAGGATTGTGTTGGCGGTGACGAGGGGCGGCTCCTTCTCTGGGTCAGCGGTGGAGACAAAGATGTCTACACCGGGGAGGTCGGACTTTCCGGTGGGATTTGTAGGAGTGGGTATCTCAAACTTATCCTTGAGGACAGATAGGTCCGTGGCACGGTTCACTGGAGAGAGCTTGGGGAGTTGATCGAGAAGCCATGAGAATGCGAACCATAGCTCGCAAACTACAGACATACCCCATAGCCAGATAGCATCAGGATTCTTGTGCTTGATTCTCCAAGCCAGAAAAAGAACCAGTACCACCATGCGGATGAAAATTAGCAGCCTGCATTTACAAAGAAGCACATTAGAACAATATAACATATTGTTCTACAAAGCATGCAAAGCAGAACCATAACTTCAAAAATAAGGAATTTTGGTGCAATTCAGAAGATATGTAAAATATAATCATCACTAAGAGGTTAGCGTTTGATTGCGGATAACACAGAAGCTTGATTAACAGTGATAAAGGTTGTAACAATATAAAAAATTTATGCAATTATTCTACAAAAGTGAAAATATAAATTTATCAGGAATTTCTAACAAAAAAGTTTTTTTTTTTCAAGTTTATCTCAGTTCTAATGGTGAGATTGGTATGGAAGGATTGGCATGATGCATAGATTCATCAGTTTTTTTTTTTCCCAGTTTTTGCTATAAAATAATTTTTTTTTAGTGTCACAAAAAACATTTGTATTGCCCAACTATTTTTATTCTTACAAATAAATCACTCTAATTAAAAATTTGTATCATGTCATATCATTTATGCTATGTATCGTATTCGTATCATGTAATAGTCATGATGGTCATGTTATAAACATGTGCATCATGTAATAGTCATGTAATGAATCTATGCATCACGTAATAGTCATGTAATTAATAAACATATGCATGTAAGAGGCGAAAAAACTGCTCCAGAGAGGCCCAATTCTACCAAAAAAAAATGTTTATTCAAAACAAATGAACTATAATGCCAAGCAAATTTATAAATATGCTAATTTTATAGAATATAATAATTAAAATAGACCAAAAAGGTGAATAATTTTAAATCCCTAATAAATTAATCTTTATTATAATATTAAAAATAGAACACATACAATTTCTATTATTATGATTAATTTTCACTCCACTAAGAATTTAAGTCCATTGTTAGCCCATTATAGTTAGATGTTAAATGTGTTATGCTAGTTAACTACAAAAAATTAGGTGATATATTGTGCATATTTTGTATTTCATGCAAATAAAAAAACCCTCAAATTAAATGAAAGTTCACATTTAGACTTTGTTTGGTATAATTTTTTTGCTATTTTTTAAAACAATATTATAGCACAAAAATTTCTTTAATTTTTATAATAAAAATTGTTTTAAAAAGAAATATGAAAACTGCCCCAAATGAAACCTAAATCTCCTGTATTGAAAGAAAGACAGATTTAGGAGCATAAAAAAAAATCAGAGTTAGGATTGAATAAAAATCAGTAGATTTACTTTTAGATGAATGTAATATGAATTTTATATATATTAAATTATTCTCAAAATAAATCAAATGAACTTAATTCTTTTTAGATAAAAAATTTGATCATAATATTCTTAGACAACCTTTTATAATACTCTTGTGTCTAAATTATATCAAAATAAATTAAAGAAAAAAAATGAATTTTACTTTATAAGTTAATATTAATGAAATATTTTATATTATTCACATATGATAATGTTTTGCAAGTCAATAAAAAAAATTTAGATGTAAGATATATAAATACTTATAAAATGCATATAAATTCTCATTCATTTTTATATTGAAAATGAATAAAAATAAAATCATCATTTTTTTTAGAAATATTCAATCAAACACAAATACCCATACAACAATAAAGTGAAAATGGCCCTTCTTAAAATTGAACAAAAGAATTGCGTTCTCCAATAGACTATATAATTTTTATAATCAATCAAAATAATATATAATTTTTATAATATATATTAAATAAATGATATTGGAAAAAAAAAATCGGTAACTTTTTTCGGTTTCTCAAGAAACCGGAAATCCAAATCATGATTTTTTTTAAAACCGTGATTTTGTCAAACCCGTTAACTGATTTTTCAGTTCTGCTCCTTCTAAAATTTAATTCAAATTAAGTTCTTTAACTAAATTAAACTAATAATCAGCTTTTTTTAAAATTCGGCCGCTCACCTTTGATTTTGTTTAAAACCTTCATTTGGCAAGCTTAGAATTTTTTTTTATTTTAATTTTATGTAGCTTTTCCTTCTGTTTAATGAAAATAAGAAGGCTCCCACATAATCTTCCTCCTACCTTATCGTCACTCTTAATTGAGCAAATGGTTAAAAACATCAATGACAAGTAAAACCTATAGAGCAGAGCAAGAACAGAGTAATCTCACCTGTAAGGACTAAGGATGGCCGCCGGAATCTTAAGCTTTCTAGTCAGCGGCCGCCACGGCTTGCTCACAAAATCTTTAGCATGCCTGTCATCGCCGCCACCGTCGTGGCCTACCTCATCTTCCTCTGGCCAAATCGCGTTTCCATACCCGTAAGTTCCCTTCGTCTCGAACAACCACCGATTGTGCTCAAATTCACTGGTTCCTCCTTTCATGGATCTCATCATCGACAGCCTCCTCTCCATCCTCGCCCCGGCTTTTGAAGCCGATATCCTTGGCACCGTGATCGCCTTCCTCTCCTTGGCGATCCTCGCCACCTCCTCCACATCAGTAGCCTTATAAGGTTCCTTACAACCGGGACACAGCTTCCCCCCGTTCTTCACCGCGTCATCGAAGCAATCCCGGCAGATCTTGAACTCGCACTCGCAGGGAAGCATCTCCTCCCCGCGCTCGTCGCACATCACCTTCCCATCACACCCTTCCACGGCGCAAGTCGACGCCTTGGCGGCCGCCGACCGACTCAGGTTGGTATCCGTGACCTTGTCCATCATATGGGCGCGTGTGACGCTGTTAAACCCGCCGGTGAAGAGAGAACTCGAGACGTAGTGCTCCTCGGCCTTGGCGGAGACGAAAGGGTCGACCGGGACTACCTCCATGGGCTGGTTGTCCGGCGTCATCGGGAACTGTACGTGGTAGTTGTTGAAGTCCACGCTGCCAAGCTCGCTCTCGAGGTCCTCACGCGAGTAACTGATGTACCTCCCAGAGGGCGTTCGCCGGCCGAATGTCACCTTTGGAGCCGCCGTTGGTGCTGTTGGAGGCTTCCCCTGAGCTTGCTCCGGATACATCATCCTTGCCGATGACAATCAAAACGCCAACTTCAGCTTGCAAATCGAAGCAATTTACTGCGGCCAAACAAACAGAGATTTGTAAATATTATGTCGCAAATCGCAATTGACAAAAAAAAAGGATTTTTTTCCAAGAATGTATTCTTACCTTAAAAGAAATCAGGGGAGATGAGATGCGTAAGGATTCGATAGCGCATTGCTCTGAAAATCAGTGCCGCGGAAGCATAAGAACCAATCAGTTGAGAAGGTGATTATATGGAAGAGGTTGCTTCTCTACTCCGCCAGAAATCATTCAAAACACGAGTGAAAAGAGAGAGTTGGTGGACTACGACTGTAGACGAATCGGATCAGACCCGGTCTCCAAAAGCAGAGTAGTCTAAGACAACAAATGTCACCTCAAAATGTATTTTTGTACAAGGGGAAAAATCTGAACATGCGTTGCAGATGTGAGAGTTCTTCGAGGAACGGAGAACAAGGGGACAGTTATGGCTGCCGGCGGTCAAAAAGCAGCTCGGCACTGAAGTTTAAATATGGGGCGTAAAGTTAGGGTTAGGGTTTCCAGAGAGAAAATAAAGAGAGAGAGAAAGAATGGGGTTGGAAATGAAGACGACGGAGAGTGAGGAACAGAGGACGGAGAAATGAAGGTTTTTATTGCTTGCTTGGCTGCTTGCAAATAGGTTCAGAGAGAGCGTGCAGAGGAGGAAGTGTGGGTAGGACCGTAGGAGGAAGTGGGGAGGAATGAACTTCCAATGAGCTGTTTTCGCGTGGAAAAGATGAGAAATTATTAGGTACGGAGTGCGGACGGGAGAACCGTCTGCACACTAGTATAAAATAATGTTCGGTACCGTTCGGTACCACTCGGTACCGCTGGGTACCGCTCGGTACTCTGTGTCTGTGCAGACGGTTCTCACCCCGTCTGTACTCCTCACTTAATAATTTTTCGGAAAAGGTTCACCACATAGATCGTGAATCAAATAAAGCCGACATTGGCATTGGCTTGTCAGGGCTGACGTGGCAAGCTGATGAGCTGGAGTCGGGCTGGCCGGACCGCGGTATTCACCAAACGCGATCCGTGCCGTGCTGTTTCGGTCTTCCGAAGCGTCGCGGATTTCTCCGTTGACATTTATGTACCCGAAATTACTCCATTTATTAGTGAGAGCAATTGCTCACTTTGTCAAATAATATATACAACTTAAATTTTTAGACTTTCATTCTTAATATTCTTATTATTTTAAAAGTATTATTATTATCTCTTAATTATGTTGATATAAATGAATTTTTATATAAATATAATTTAAAGAGTATTTCATTTTTAAAGAAACGTATTAAGTAATACATTTAATCTTTTTTTTAAAAAAAAAATTCATTATTTTAATTTTAGGCCGTTAATTATTAATCTTTATCATATTGACTATTATTTTTGTCCTTTTTTCAATTATTTTCAAGGTCTTTATAGGGTGGGAATTAATTCTGTATGCGGACATAGAGATGAATCCAAAGATCAATTTGAACACACCACGTCATTTTTTACTCGAACACGGGCTATGTTTGAGCAGTTGTCGCATGCTTGATAATTCTACCGTGTATAATATTTCCCTTTTGATAGGGTAATTTGCCTCAATTTTAAAGATACTTTTTTATGAAGCACTTTTTTTATTTTTTTAATATAGTTTTATAATATCTTATAAAAAATATTTTCTTCACATATCAGATTGTATATTGCAAGAGAGAATTAACTATCTTGCAATTTAATAATAAATTGTTGTACTTCTGAATATAAATTTTAAAAATATCGTTGCATTTCGTTGCCAAGTTACAAGAGATCATTTCAAACACATATAAACCGCGTAAGCATAATCAGGTAAGGGCACAAAAGTTCTGAAAAATTCTCCTCATTATTTAACATTTTAATTCCTATCCATCTATCATATATTCATATCGCAAGAGATAAAACATACTTGATGTGTGTCCAAACAGCCACGGCAGGTATGAAGTCGACCAGCCATTGCGGAAAATGCTCATTGTCAGTGGTTGAAGTCTATCATCAAAATATAAATACTCATCTTAGGAGAAGTCTCGCGTGATTAAATTCTCTTTAATGAAATATAATTTCAAGCAATTCCATCTTATTTGTGATGGTATATAATTATATTTTGAAAAGTGATGGCACCAAATTTAAGGATTCTTAGAGAATGAAATGAGGAAAAATTTCAGTGTTTTGAGAACAAAAAATTTATAAGTGCTTGAATTTTAATGACATTTTTTTTCATATTAAAATTTCATTTTTTTTTTCACTGCTTTATAAACATTAATCAATCCAATCACTATGCTCAACAAATCATTCGATGTCTTGTTAAATCAAATAATTTTTTTTGTACATTTATAATAATGGTTTTGTTTTTTTAAGATATATAAAAATAATATGTCATCTCGTACCTCCGATTGATTTAACGACAAGCGTGAGAACTCGCTCAACGATTATCGACATTTATTGTGTAATGCTATCAACTATCTCTAAGATTAGGTGATTTAATTTTAATGTTCTGATATAACATGTATTGCCCAAATTTAATTTAGGCATGAAATAATTGAAGTGCTGTACATAAATGATCTCAAATTGATTTGGATAGAAAATGGGATATACGAAAATCTCACTCACGTATCTGAGAGAGACAGAGGTCAATTACTGAGGATCCGACGTTTGCGTGGCTTGACGAGCTGACGACTATACGGTCGGCCGACCGTGCTTAAGTATCTCATCATTTGGACGCGAGAGTACCTTGAGTGCATAGTCTCGTAACCAGGATGATCCGGTATTATGTTGGAAGATGCGAGAATTAGACTAAGATCGATATGGCGTTAGCGAATATGCTCAATCCTGAGTGCTATGTGGAGTGCATTCTCGCTTCCGGAGTCTAATCTGGCAACATTGTTGAGTAGCCCACCGCTAAAGCGCTGTATTGGAGGCTCGCTAATATCAGATCTAAGCATATTGTAGACTCCTTAAGGATTATATATATAATATTTATATATATACTATCTAGTATATATATCATATATATATAATATATATATTATTAAGGGTCATTTCCTTTTGCAGTTTATTTGATGCAGGGATCCAGAACTCTTCCTTGAAATTATATCTCTATGGGAGTGTAAGCTGGCCTGGAATCTTTGCGCAATATCTTTGAAAAGAGAGTGACATATGTTAATGTTTGGGAGTTAATAAGAGACATAAAAATTTTTATATGTTTATAGTTCACGTCTAGTGCTATGAGCATATCTGACATGTCCTATTTATGTTAACATTAACAGTATTTAGTAATATAAAATTTTAAGTTATATTTAATTGTCTCAAATTATTATTTAAAGTCTTTAGATATACTACTATGTCTATTATAAATTGCTTAGCATATGAATTTTTTGATGTATTGCAATGCATAAATTGGAAAATATTTAAGTAAAATAAATTAATTTGAAAATTTAGATGGAAAAACTGTTGTCTGCTGAGCGTATATTATCGCTCATTGTTATTTACCTTCTATTTTCACGGATTGATAGGAGGGAAAGGGTCTGTATGTGAAGTTCAGGATGCTCATATGACCTATAAATAGGTATTATTATCTTTTGATTTTTAATATATGTCATGGATAGTTTGATCATTGCTGCTGTTTGTAGCTATGTTTGTAGATTGAACGCGTATGTTGTATTGTTACTTGATGATAAATGTAAAAAAACGGATTTTTGTAAATGAGTTTCTTTTTCAGCTACTTTGGATGTTGTTAGTATCTTGTGTTCTTTATGTTTGGTAAGTTTAAAATTGTATGAGATTTTGAAAAAAAAAAAAGTAAACTATATGTTGGGGTTTCGTTCGTCGCAAGTAAAATGATATTAGTAGGACATGATTCAGGTCTATGAGCTTCTTACGAGAGGATTTGTAACACACTGGCACATGCTAGCTCCAAGATATGTAAATGTCGTTTAAATCGAATTTGTCATCCAAGCTACAAGAAAGAGTCTTTCTAGGAGAGTCTTCAATGATCGCGGTTTCATTCACAAATTGTCGACCATGGAGCTTACTACTGATGCGCTATTTAACATACTCACCCCAAATTGCAGACAATTTAGGGCTCCATCACAGGTCTGTGAGTTATAGCCTCTTAGCTTACCCTATTTCAATGAAGTCACTCACTCCTAGTTGTTCCATCTAGAGCAGCCAGTATTGAGCTAGTGGCGTCTAACGGAAGTCTATAATAGTGAACCATAGTGTGATTTAGCATCTATTTTTACTCTTTAAGTAGGCCTCTTTTTTTTAATCTTCCTTCCCTATGAAATAAATAGGTAAAAATGATATTTTTTGAAATCTTTGGGTGTCGTTTTCTCATTAATTATAACACACTTCGGACTATGTAATAGAATTTTCCACACTTTATATCCATTCATCTCTTTTGCATTTTCACGTTAGTTTTTAGGCCATATTGCATTAAGCGTCGATTGCTATTATATGGTGTGTGTAATCACAGTTGTACAAACTTGAATCTAAATAACTTTCTTTCAAGAAAAACCAAAGGACGGTGATGGGAGAAGATTAATTTCTTGACTCTTAATTGAAGTTATGCTTTTAAAATGTCATTATGAGTTGGACTATTATTTCCATATATTAGATGACTAATCTCGCAATACCTAGTTAGGCAACATGTATATTTGGCTCCTGAGACTTTTTAAATGATATACAGCTAATGTTTCATCAAAATAAGAATTTTGTAAGATATATGATCCACGCCAAGTCTACTAATTTTAAGGTTAAAAAATCAGACCCTAATTAAAACTTTGCTTTGAGGACTGTACCTTAATTTAATTTTTCTCCTAAGTTTACTTTTCGAGTTAGTGACGACCTTATAAAACTATTTAAACTCGTGTTATAATTGAATGTAAAATTAATGGGGTGCAATTGTGTTTATTCTAAGATCATTTAGTGATTATGCTAATAAATCTTTGGACTGAAATTTTTATGATAGTGTTATAAAATAATACTCTCTAATCATTAAAACCTTTAAAAAATGGGCAGATTTAAAATTCAATATTGATTAAGGCCAGGTGTGATAACTGGAGGCTCTCCTTAAGGATATATTGGTACATTGAAGAATAATGAATAAATTATTTTGAAGGGGCTTGAATACCCTTCTGGCATTGAATTTTTTTGCATGAATTTTCCAAGTATGTGTGTCATTTGTTCCCCATTTTTCTAATTTAGTATATTTCATAATAATCATTAAACACATACACTAGCGTTCACTATATCAATAGAGAATGCAGAGCTATAATATAGGTATATCAGTGGAATTAGAAGGTGATTTAGTGTCTCTCAACGAAGTAAAGATTTAAATTTAATGAAAAAAAAATTAGTATTTCTAGGTATTAATTATATATTAATATAAAATATTTGAATTTTATTTTTTAATATGATTAAGAATTTACCATCTTTTTTAAATTTTAGAATATATTTTTTTCATTCATTGGAAATCTAATACGACTACTTACCTTTTCATTAATAAATGTACTCGCAATAATCATGCTTGTTTCAAGCAAAGCATGCATACTAAAGATAGATCACACCTCTGAAAAATTACAAGGGTGCAAAGCTGAAATCAAATAGCTGTTCTTTTTCAAGTGCGTCATCGTGCTTTGCACGCGGTCACACGACTCCTTGATCATATCA